AAAGAGTGAGGGAAGATTTGCAGAACTTGTTTTTGAGCCTTCCTTGATTTAAAAGCTAGCTGAGTGTTTTCATGTTATGCTAGTAGACCACTGGGTAGATCATACAGTGGTTTGAGGGTATCTCATAAAGCCTGCATAATAATAAATAATTATGTTCTGCCCTTATTGGCTGCTTCTGATCCAGAATATGTTGCTCAACCTATTTTACAGATGGAGAAACCAAGGAACAGAGAGTCTTGTATTAAATCAGTAGCATTTCATGGAAGAAAATTCAAGTAAAGTTACTTTGTTGGACACTCAGCAAGCAGCTGTGTTTGGGCCTCCCCCCTGCGATCTTTAAGTCTCCTGAATCATTATAAACTCCAGCAATGTGACTTCCCTTGGCCTGTCTGGCACACTTCCTGGGCACAGGTTCTCTGTTTTTCACTTCTTCATGGAAATAGGACCCTGTAGTCTGTATCCCCTTGGTTGCCAAGACCAGCTTGATGCCTTTGATCCAGGGTTCTGGAGCATTCTTTGGACTTTGGTCAGTGTTTTAAGGAAATTCTCCTGCATATGGGTTCTCCTTTGAATCATGGAATCTAGTCTCTCCTGCTCCTTTGTCCTTTGGCTGGTCAGAGATGAAAAAGGAGCCTCTCCTGCCCAAGCCTCCTCCTTCTCCCCTGAGTTTCTCAAGCTTTGTAGCTTTAAGGCCCAGTACTGACAGCTGATGTCTTGGTTCTGCTTTTGTGGAACTTCTTTCAAATCTGAGTCCCATATCCCTCCATCCCCACCCCACCGCAACAGCAGTCAGAGAAAGCTGGCCTTTCCTAAGAGTCAGTTCCATTTTTTGTTCCTCCTTCGTTAAAATCTGTTCAGGTGCTGATAGTCTTTAACCACTGACCCACACATGAAGAGATGGACTAATGCTACTATTGCACCTCTTTAGTTCAAGGTATAAAAGGAAAAACTCAGTAAAAGTCAGTTATCAGACATAAGGATAGTGACAGTTCATAAAATCAACTGGAATTCATAAGTTGTACATAGACAAATTCCCCAAGTCATTACATTGTGCCTCTTAACTTCCAATCTGTCCTCTGAACCATGCCACCTCTCTCCTGGTCTGCTTTAGCCATGTGTCTTCTTCTGAAAGGGAAAATGCATCAGGACTCAGTTACAAGTGGTTCTGTTGGCCATTTCCCACATGATCTTACTTCATCTTAGACTAGAGCATCCTA